CAGGACCCAATAGATATGCTATTCTCCTTGCTGTGCCTGGTACCACAGACAACCATGCCTCATCTGAGGCTGCTGAAGCTAATACCACCTCTACCCAGCAGCCATTAAGAAACCTGGTGTCCTATCTTAAACAAAAGCAGGCAGCTGGAGTGATAAGCCTCTCAGTAGGAGGCAACAAAGACAAAGAAAACAGTGGGGTCTTGCTCCCCCCCCCATGATTTTTCTCAGCAATTCCTGGATTCTACAGCAAAGGCCCAGGCTAAATCGGAGGATGACTATTTGGTCATGATCATTGTTCGTGGTGCATCTTAAAGTCCTAATGCTTTCTGTGCTTATCCTGCTGCTTCATACAACTCCCCCCTCCTCCAGTGTCTGCCAGGTGCTAAGCCTTAGCCAACACCCTAAGTATAATTTTTGATCTGTAGTTACTCTTATTTTCCCTTTATTTTCTATAAATTCTAGAGAGCAGATATATTAACTGTTCGCTAGGCTACCCTCAACTGTCTTGCTAGTGACAGTATAGCAAGAAGGGATGGCCTGCTTTCACTAAAATATGAAACATTGAACAAGCTTGCCTCCCTCTTTTTTTTTTTTACTTTTTAACTTGTCCTTGTTCATTTCACAACTTTAAAGTAGCTATAAAATCTTTTCCTATACTTACATTCTAAATTGCCATACTTAAAACATTCATGATTCATGCCCATTCTGAGCCCCACAGCTTCCATAAAACTATAGTTATGATTTCAGATTAATTCCTAGTTTACAAAATGTAAAATTGAATTGAATTAACTCACGGTTGAGTCCCTGATACTGCTGATATTAAGCCTTCATGGTGCATTGCAGTTTTCTTTCAGCTGGGTTTTCAGTTTTTGTTCCCAAATTCAGAGAAATGCATACCCTTGAAAAATGTCCCTAAATGGTATTTGCTTTTTTGATTTTTTTAAAACTTGTGTGCATTTAAGGGTTGTGGTTGTAATGAGAGCTTTACTATAACCCATGAACATCATGAACTTCTGTATTAAAGAAGCAGGTGGTTAATGGTATCATTGTTTTTGCCCATTACTAATTGTAATAGGCACAATGAATTCTAAAGTATAACGGGAACGCAACTTTCAAAGATGGCACTTAACTTTTGTGAAAAGTTCTGCCACATAACCATTTCAATTATCATTCTATCCCTGTGGAAATAGAAAGGAAACTTACCTGCTCAATATTTTTCAGGTAAAATATAGGCATTATGCGAGGTTTTATAGTCTGGTTTGCACTGTTTTAATCTTTACACTTGCATTCACCTTATATTTCTAAATGTTGGGGAAGCAATTCAGTTTACTAAAAGAACACAATTTGATTGAAAGTAAGCCTATAAAAGCAGTCATTTTTTAAAATATGTGCTAAGACTTAGGAGGAAAGAATCAACAGTTTAAATGTGTCACTTTTTGCTTGGTCTCTTCTCTAGTCCAATGTTTTTGTTCCTTTGTAAAGCCGCTGTACAGTAACAATGTTTCTCATGTGTAAACCAATTCTCAAGTTTGAATAAGTACAATTACGATAGTTGAAAAAGTGGCCTAATGAAACACTGCTCAGTGAAATATTGGGAAACATACTATTCTTAAAGTATTTTTTTCAAGTAGAGCCTCACTTCTGAAACTATTACACCCTTTCACTCTTTTAAGAATGTGGGTACAGTAACCTAAATCCCACAATTCTGAAATATAAATTGTTCTGTAATAAATGAAACTTGGAACTGTGAACCAAATTAAATCTAGCCACTGTTATAGGCAGAGTCACTAAGACAGATTTGTGTTGCCTGTACTGCATAACATTATTGGATTATCCATATTACTGCATTTGTCAAATTCAATATGCTAGTGGCTACATAAAGAGTTTTCTTAGTGTATTTATTTGGAGAGTGAATTTGTTCTATGTTGAACTAATATATTAATTTAAAAGCCATCCTTGTATTTTTGGGAAAATCTTTAATATCAGATTCGAAAGTCAAACTTGTTGGCACTAGTATGCATACTGATGTGCTCTCCTTGTTAAAAAAATCCTTTGGAACTTGAATTTGAGGTAAAGTGAACATAATGGCATTTTAGGCAACTTTTGGGAACCGGTGTTGGAAAACCCTACACCATGGATTTCTTTTTCTATTTTAATTGAAAATTATGTTCAATGCTGCTTCTTATGATTTGAACTGGGTAAAGGATATGTGAAATGGGCAATTCAGTTTTCCAAACCTTTATCTAAGATTATTTTTTAAGAAAGAAGATAATCCAGTAATAGCTATAGAAAGAAAAAGAATGTTAGGAGTCCAATTTAGACTAAAACGATAACCAACATTGGATAGCTCAGCACTTAGTTATAGCTGCTATAGCTTTTTTTTTGTATTAGGATAACAGCAGTACAATTATTCATTTGAGCCAACCTCCAAGACTTCAGCATAGCAAAAGTTAAGTTTTGTGACACATCTGTATGCAGAAAAAAAGAATTGTGATCTTTTGTATATGGTATTATGAAGCTTTAGGGCAATGTATATTTGAATGATGCACATGTTCAGAAATTTGTTTCTAGAGTTATAACATTAGGATGAAGAATGTTTTTTTTTCCTGAGAGTCACTTAATACCACTTTTGGGGGAACTGGAAAGGAAAATCTTAGTTGGCATGTTGTCTTTAGGATTTAAATTCTATAATTAGAGACTTAAAAGTTTGCCCTCCCTTTTAAAGTTAACTAGGAGTTTTGCATTTTGACAGTTCATCATACGTGGTTGGCTGTCAGTGGAGTATCAATTTAAGGCTACCTCATTTACCAGGATCCACTTTTGTGTTTATACAATTGCCTCCCAATTTTAATTGTCAAAATTTATTGGCATTTTAAAAGCCAATATATTTAGCATGGATCCTTTCTTCCCAAGATATATAAGGGGGAAAGGAAGAAGCCTTCCTTAGGAATTTAAACAAGTAGTAGGAGTTTGACTATGTTTTAAGAGTAAAAGAATGTAGGAATACATCTGAATTGGATAAAAATGGAAAAGATAAGGGTAGCCACATAAGCATACAAAATAATAATCCATGTAGGGTGCCTGATTGAATGGTTTGCAAAATTGTAAAGTAATTTGATGTATGTTCATTTCCTTGCTTTCGGTTTTCCCCCTATAGAGCAAACAATATTAGCTGCTCCAGATGTGTCACTGAAGATAAACATGTCCCTTTACATTATCCAAACTAAAGTATTTTGGAACAACTAGAAAAATGCACACAGATGTGGGATGAAGAGAATCTGATGCATATTTTAGCTAGTTTTCTCCAGTAAGTAAAGAATCTGTAGTTGGAGATAACATAGCAATGTGAAAAAATACACTTACAAACAGAACACTAAATTTCTTGTTCTTGTTTGACTTTTTGAAAGTGAGAGAAATTGTGTGAATTGTGAAAATTCAGTTGATTTTTCTCCTGTATGTTTTTTTAAACTAGTACAGCTTTTTTTCCCCAATCTCTACCCTATATTTTAACTCCCTGAACTACTATTTGTGCATTTATATACAGATGTTAATTCATTTCAAAAGCTTTGTGCCAGTGAAGGGTGATTGGTGCTTTCAGACATTACCTAGAACATTAATAGCCTTGTAGTTGGAACAGTTATCTGTAAATGCAGGGGGAAAACAGATCTCTTGTAAACATTTGTACTGAATAACCTCTTCTTTCCTCCTGAAAGCAAGGCTAGTGAAGTGCTGAAGACCACAAGGGATTCCAAACTCTAATGGACCTTTGCGAAGAAAAGCGTTGGCTTATGTGGAATTTACATGGGCCTCATGGAAGAAAGCTTATCTGTTTAGTATTTGTGCATTTTACTAAAATGGCAGCTTAAAAAGTTGTGTATCTGCTATTTGTGATGCCAATGCCCATGTTTTAAAGTGGAAAATTGACCTCTTTGCTATGTGCTGTGTACACAAGATTTCTGCAAAAGTAAAGGAAAAAAACCTTTTTATGGCTCACACAGCTTAAAATAGCTGTCACTCAAAACATGCGCTCACAGTCGAGCTGATTTTGTTTCATTCTAAATAAATTGTTTCTTTTGAGGAAAGTGGTTTTTCTGCCTGGAAATGAATTGACGACAAACCTTTGACCCCTTTGTTTGCAGCTGTGGGGGTACTTTACAACTGTTCCTGCTGCTCCTTCTCCTCGATCTGATAGTTGTGGGTCTCAGACAAGAAACAGGGAAACCTTCGCTTTGATATTGACCATCTTTTGTATCAGATCTGAAGAAATCTAGTTTGTTGTGTTGCTGTGTCCTCTTGTGTACGGTGAATGGGGATCAATGGCTGCTATCTCCTCATCTTTACGAGGAAATGGTGCTGTTGCTGGCATGCAAGAAGCAGGGAAAGCATCTTGAGTCTCAGAACAGTGTGCAGATCTGGGACTTTGTTGATTTTGAAGAGCTGGAGTTCCTGAATTTTAAGTTCTTGATTTATTTTGTTCACCTAACTTGTTTGGCCTTAGTTCTGTTTTTAATTTGAAGAAAGTTTGAAATTGCTTTGCATCTTGCTCATAACCTTTTCACCAAATTGAAAAGAAAAAGTAACTCATAAAAAAAATTAAATGATAGCGCGTTTCCAGACACAGTTGAAGAGCTCCTCCCCCACCAGGGGCTTTTCTTCAGAGTTATGCAGTCCTGGGTGTAGTTCTGAATGGAAGAAGAGTTCCTGAGAGCTAGAGCGCTGTCATTTAAAACCTGTACGATTGTTATTGGTGCTCTTACTTGACCCGTTTTGAAGCAAATGGTCTACACACCTTGGATGTGCATGCAACTTGATCGTTTCATAGGTACCGCTGCAAACTTTTTAGTTTGTAGTACAGATGATATCAGGAGGAAAAAAAAAGTGGTGAAACTTTGAAAACAAATGTGCTATATTTCCTGCATTTGGGGATCTTGAGCTTTGGAAAGCTGTTCCCACTGTGCAGGAGTACAACTCTTTGCTGCAGGAGACTTCGGGGCACAGTTGACTACACATCACCAGAGGTCAAGAGGAAGCGAACAGTGCTGCACCTGCATCGTGGCTGCAGAAACTGCATTTGTTTCCCGAGTCTCTTAGAATTAACTAGTTGCCATTTGACATGCAGATGGAAGACACCTTGAAATGCAAGCTTGCTTTGGTTGCCTTGAAATGCTTAACCTATTGTGGATAAAGAACACTAGCGCGGTCCTATATCCATGCAGGATGATTGCTAGGCAGCAGGTGCTTATCAACCAAGGATGCTACGATTGTGTTCCACAAAATATGGGTTCCCATGGCAAACTGCTGTATAAAACTCTTAAACAGGTAAGGGGGTTTTAAGAGGTCAAAGTGAATTGTAATTATAAGGAACTGGGTTGACTGCTTTTAGGCTTTGCTCATTGTAGCCTTCCAAGTTCTTAAATTACTGGTTCTTACTAACTTTTACAATACCCCCTCTCCCAATGCAATGAGGTTTAGTACAATTAAGTATTAATTTGAACATCTAATGCCACTTTCATATTGATTCCCGAACTTTTAAAATGATGTAAGTAGTTGTGAGGGCTGAGCATTTATGGTGACATTTCTGTTCAGCAAATTACAGAAGCTATTAAGGCTTGTATCAAATACAGTAATCTCTAACGAGGTCCTTTCTCTGTAAGAAAAGTAATGTAAAAAAAGGTGGGCGTGTATTTATGGGTACATACATAATGAAATATATTTCTGTTGCGATTGGTCCCTTCTGTACAGTGAAAGACTGAAATGTGAAGATGCCAATTTTTAGATAATTCAATTTTTTTCAATAGTTAATTGAGATATGACCAGAAATAAATCAATCTGCTTATGGAATGCTAGAGGATATCAGTAGAAAAGCTACTTGGCAGAAATAGTTGTAATTCTAAACTTTAGAATTTTTCTTGATTGGTAAGTAACAGGTTCCAATAAGCATCCTTTATTGGAAAAAAACAGCTAATTTTAATAAATAGATGAAAAGGTTTAGTTAAGTATCCTCTGTGATTGTAATCTAAAAATTGTATCCTAACTTGCTCCTGTCTACTCAGAAATAATTCATGTAAAATGGAATTCACTGCTACATATTTATAGAATTGCAGTTTAAAAGAGTTTCTGACGAGGGAATGATACAGTTGAGTTAGCAAACTGAAGAAGAGTCTTCAGATCAATTAAATCACAATATTTGATGTATTTTCCCTTTTATTGTTCAATCCAGTATATAACTACAGTGCATTTGGTGCTGGGAAATGCTTTTAATAGCTGTTCCATAATAGTTATTTCTTCACAGGATTGGTCAGCCCCTCTGGACTGATAAGAGGGACATCTTTATCTGAAAGGTAACTATTTTTTCCATAAGAATGAAATGCTGCTTAGGTTGGCTTTGACTATGACATAAGAATATAAAAAATGGACGTAGCTGTGTAATCATTCAAAGCAGACTTGATAAACTTCTGAAACTGCATTTCCTTAGAGCACTGTCTTAAAATTATATACTGTAAAACTAAAGCGGAATAGCAGTTTTAATATTAAACAGCATTTAAGATACTAATTTTAGAAAATCTTACCAATTTCATCAGAGAACAAAATTATCCCACTAAAACCAATGAAATTGAAAAAATGATTAACTTTGGCTAATACTGTACATAACTTGTACAGTTAAAGGCAGTTTTTAGTTACCAATCCAAATATTAGGGCTATGCAGTTTTAAGATTTCAGACAGTATTTCATTAAAAAAGACAATCTAAATGAAATATTGCCCCTCATCAGGATATACTCTGCAATGGTACAATAATCCTTATATTTCTCCATTTTTCTAGCGGAATATAACAAACCTAACACTTTGTTCTTAGATTTTGGAAAATAATTGCATTAAATCCATGTAGAATTCATGTTTCAACATAATGAACTACAAAGATAGCTACTCTGACTATATTTAATGTCATGATAAACCAAGGTTTATTGTAATGTGCATGACTTTATGAAGCCTCGGGATTATAATATATTCTTTAGGAAAATAGGTTTGTATAGCTTTTAGTTTGATTGTAGTTAAGTCATTGAATGCTCTGATGTTTGCATTAATTATACTACATTAACTTGTGTTTTGAATTGGCTTGTTTTAGAAATATTTATAATTGATATACAGCCAGAATCTCTAGTTCATATAAATGAGATGTTCTGTTTAACTAGAGTTAAATGTTTCTACAGGCATTCTTGGAATCACGCAAAAAGAAAGATCCGGGCATTCTGTGATTGGTGTATGTCATGCAGTGACATACAGTGAGGTTTATGGTTGGTGAGGCAGCAATTTTTTTAGACTTGTGGACTTCAACTCCCAGAATTCCACAGCCAGGCATGCTCAGTTCCGATTTAAATCGACAGCATTTCCCCCCCCCTTGCAAAATAAGTTTTCCTTCATTCTTTTTCTTCTCCCTCCCCCTCCTTCCTCCCTCTCTCCCTCCCTCCCCCCTCTCAAACATACACACATACACACACAGAGAAGTAGTATT